GTGCCAAACTTCAGGTATAAATCTCAGATTCTGATCTCGCTAACACTCATGTTACTCCACTGATTTTCACAGTATTTCAGGACTGCGCTGGGATGAAGAAGCCTGATCTTGCTAAAACCGAACCTCTCAGAGGGCTGCCCGAGCTAGCTGTTTTCAGACACGAAGCCCGTGTGATGCCCCAGGACAGGGCGGGATGGAAACTGCTCTTCGTGGGAGCTCCTGTGCAAAGGCTCCACGTGACCCAAGGTGCCTCCAGGCAAAAGTCCCTCCATGGCTGTGACTTCGGGGTGATCCAGCGATCAGAAACAGCACCAACCGATATTCCAAAATATGAGTTGAAGCAGTCTACACCATCCCTCCTATTAAGTGCAATTTTGATAAAACCGACACGCCTCTTATCACCATCTCTATGTGAATAACTAAGTTGAGCTGAAACCAAACTGCACTGCGAAGTTTGACTTTGGCAGCTGTGTACTCCAGGGTGCCCTGTGGTAGGTTGGTTTGATAAGCACACAGAGTCTAGCTGAGCTTTTAGGGAACAGCAGTTTCATATGAACCTACAGTTTTCACTAGAAGCTGTTGTTAGTTTTTTATTTACAATTAGTAATTAGGTGCTGTGTTCATGCAGAATTTAATGGTGGAATCAAGCTGTAGGTGAACCTACCGATTTATTCGCCCTGGAATTTTCTCTTCACCCCACTCACTCCCTAATTCTTTATTGTTTTTCCACCATTTGTTTTATAGGAAATAACTGCCACTACAATAGATTACAATCTTCTCTTTTATAGAATATAAAAACATAGGCTACATCAGAGTTATCTTTCCTCCTCCTCATGATCTACTCTTGCTAAAAATGCAAGGCATGCTTCTGAGACAGGTTACAAAGGTGTCTTGGCATGAAAACAAAGTTGGTACCTCTCAACAGGGATGATTAAAAGCTTTAAAACATATTTTAATTTGACTCAACTATCATTCATTATAAAAGCTTCTACTTATCTCGAAACATACTAACATTGACTGAGAACTGCAAAGAATTTTTAGAAGAATGAAAGCCTAGAGATAGAGTAGCCGAAGGTGCAAATGATTTGAATATTTCGTATTAATAAAATATTGTTACAGTTAATAAAAAGGTAAAATAAAATACTGCTCATACTGTGCATCTTCTGCAATAGTAGCATTACTTACTGGCCTGATTCTGTGGCATGCTGAGGGCTTCCCACAAAACGCTGAGCTGAAATTCTTTGTGATTATCTGAAATCTTATCTGGAGCTTGTTCAAAGAATAAAGCTATGTGAAAAGCATACCCAAACTTCTTAAATGACAAACTAAAATTTTATATACATAGATTATGCATATTGACCGCTACATTATTATAACATAACTGTGTAAAAATCCTTTTGATAGGTTGTTGATAACTTGACTTCATGTAATTTAACTGACCCTTATTTGCTAAAATACTGTGTAAGCCAGTGTTTGGAAGGGAGCCAAAAAAAAAAAAAAAAAAAGAAAGAGAGAGAGGAGAGAGAAATCAGATTAAACTGTAGATCTGTGGTTGGCATTGGTTTAGCAAGTGGTACAGAACATATGGAACGCAGAATCCAGTGCTATTTCTTGGAAAAACTAGTATTAAACTAAGGACAAATGCTTGAGCGGAACAAACTACAACATCTTTTTCAGTCTCTACATACATAATATGACAAAGAAATGAATTTAGAAAAAAAGTGTTCCACTGCTAAGCACCACTTTGGAACTGATATAACAAGAAGTATACTTGACATTTTAGTTTATTAATCATATTGCAACTGAAGATGAAAGTTAATATTACCCAGTAAAAAAAAAAAATACCATCCTATGACCTTAAATTGACGGTCCTGTCTACCTTAATTGCAGCAGAGGTTGAAAAAAAAGTTTCTGAAATCCAGAACATTAGAATCGGACTAAGTAATAAGTTAAGTGCAAATCTGCCTTGTCAAACTCCTCTCAGTATTACACACCACCACTAATAAAATGCATTACTTTAACTAATTACATACATTTGAGCATTCATCAACCTCGGTTTATTGCTCCTCTAACTCTACAATTCAGGGTGCCGAGCAGCGTCCCTCCATCACACATCCCATAACCTACATCAGTGCATGCCCACATGGACCTCATCAAGTAGCCAAAGAGTTGCCCTTTCACTGTGAGCAAGTGACTAATATCTAAGCTGGCTCTAAAGAAAGACACTTTTCATAATCGCCCAGCAATCTGCTAAGTGAAAACATATGGATAGGCTTAGGTAAAGCCTGCCAGGGGTCTTTACTGAATGGAAAACAGGTGCTCCAGTTCTGTGCCATGTAATACCCCATTTACCGTTAAGTCCAAAGGTTACAGGACTAATAGCTGCCTTGTGGTAATCAGGGAAAGCAAAGACACTGGCCATGGTCAAACATCTGGGACATATTTTACATACTCGCAACATATGCTTCAGTTTGAATTAAAGTGAGGCTTTGGCACATTTATTAATCTTTTTACTTTTATCGCATAAGAAGACCCATTTACCTGACTTTTCTATTATACCATATGAAAAAACAGAGAAATAATAAAAGCCAGAAGCCACTAACAGCTGGTGTTACAAAATGTGCATTTGTTTTCTCACCAAACTTCATTTTGCACATAGCTTTAAGAAAACACATATATGAATTAAAATAATACAAAACTGCACCCTTCCATTTTGACAAAAATATGTAAGAGGAACAGCAGTAGTTAACAGTGTCTAACGCACCAGAAAAGAAGAAACACCCTACCAGCTTCTAATAACAAACAATGCAGTCCTAACTATGCACTTATATTTCACCGTTTAGCCCAGTGCAAATTAATGTCCACTGCGAAGAGTACTGACTATACATGGCAGCCTATACATGCTTATTTTACAAAGTGTCATTTTCTTTTCCATTCAAACAGCATAGTCAATCATGAGATCTCAAAATGTTTGCAATAATGAAGACAGCTTTGAATTTGTAAAAATCAACCTAAACACCTCCTGTATAGAAAGACAGCTCTTAAATATCCAATAAAAGGGCTCGCCGAACGCACACGGTGACGTCAGTACTCACTTTTATTCAACCTTGGTAACTAGAGCTAGAAAAATGCTTGAACTCTGGTGTCAATTTGAGAAAGATTAATATTAGATCACAACATCGAAACCTTGAATGATATTTCTAATTGGGTATGTTTTGCCCAGCATCTGCTAATCGCCAGAGAATTGGAGGGTGGAGGGGGCTGATCCCCACCCTCATCTTCCCTTTTAAAGGAGTTTGTTTAGCAATTGCCAAAAACCACTAAGCAGTAACTACATAGGGTGCTTTAAACTACAAGCAGTCAAGCACTATTCTTTGTGCACTAATCACAGTGATTAAAATATCCAGGAATACACACTCTACTGGGATGATACTTTTGCACCAACTCTAATAATAAAGCAGGAAGAAACAGGAGAAAATGGCCTCAAATGGATGTCAGATCAGTGTTTATCAGAAAAGAAATGATGATTCAAAGCCAGCATGTTGAGTTAAAATACAAGCTCTCCACAGCTACATGACTGACCTTTTCAATAAATCATATATTTTATTGCCAGAAGTGTATGCTCATATCATTTAGTGTTAAAAACCATCACATACGTGTTTTGTAAAAGAAGGTTTTGTTAGTACAGTGTTTGCTGATTCTGAAATGATGTAGCTAACTATTTAAGTGATGTATAGAAGAATTTCACATAATAACTTTCTGTCAATTGTAAAATGTTTGAGCTGGCGATGGAATGAGGAAAATACTCTTTTTTTTTTTTATCATCTCACAGATCTTAGGTGTTAGCTAACAGAAAAATAATCATTCAGGGGATTAACTAATCACAGTGAATTTTCTGACATTTCAAATGCTGCTGCCAGCATATGAATTCTTACAGTGGTATATAACTGTACATCTCAACTAGAAACAAAGGTCAAGGGCATAAATTAAGATACACTGTTTTTCTCCTCTCAGAAAAAAAAAAAATAGAATTCATTGCTTTACTACAACAGAAGTGGAGGAACATCTGTGAAGGTCAAAATCGTCTGTGTTTTAATTCAGAGTTCTTGTAAAATTACTGATTTTTTTTTCCCCTTTTCTTCCACAAATATCAGCTTCCTGGTATGAAAATACCAGCGACAACGGGGCTGCCTTCACTGCACTCGCCTCACCAGAAAGCTGTCCCGCCAGCGCCAGCCATTGCTACAGCGGTGCAAGGTCATTCTAATTTCTTTTCTCTGGTTTTTCCTTCTCCCTGGGGGACAACCAATCCAAGCAGTCCCATAGCTTGGCTCAATAAGATGTGGAAATGAGCTGTTATTTACTGTGGTTGCAATTCTCAGCCCAACCAGCAGCCTCCAAACTGAACCGCGTTTGGTCAAACAGCTGAATGATCCGCAACGGTTTCCCGTCTTGCTGGGCCACAGTGCCAGCTTCAAACCAAGTGGACGTCTACAGGGATTGTGATTATTTAAATGTCATACAGAGTGCAAAACATTTCAGCTGTTCTTCTATCAAGTAACTCTTTGAAAATTATAGATGTCAATATCCCATCTTTAACCAGTATGGAGTTGCTATTTCTACACCATTTTTCCCCGAAAGTGCAGCCCTATTTGTAATACTCAAGACAGGACAAATTTTTGTCCTTCAAAAACAGTTGTCACTGCAGTTATCTTCACAAGAGCTATCAAGTTTCAGACAGGCTGAATTATTTTTGTTCCTGGCAGAAAAAATATTTGACCCAGCTCTGGACCAAGGAAAGAAAAAAAAAAAAAAAAAAGCAGGATTTATAGTCCTCTATCCTTTCCTGCAACACACTGTAGCATTGTTAGGATGATAAACAGCTCTGTCCAATTTTCTGGACTAAAACACTTCAACTCCTTTTTTAACTGTCTGTAAAAACAGTGTCATGTCTAAATTCTCCCATCCCCAGATACCCAAGTGCTAGGAAAGATAATTACCTTGTCATCTCTGTCATCCTCTTCTTCCTCGTCCTCTAGCATGTCCTCCACTACCTGCAGACAGAAACAGTAGTAGTTGTCATGATTTAAAAAGGAAGAGTTTTGTTCTGTCAATTCTAAACCTTTTGTAGATGAAAACTTTATTAACATTTGAAATAAATGCACAGAAGGAAAATGTATAACCAGGAAAAAACATCTGATCTAGAGATTCAAATTTAGGAAAGCGTTATAGCTTTAATTGACCTACATTAGGGAATTACATACTGAAAACCCTTCCTGTACAAAATGCTTGCTTGACAATTTAAGTATTTAAAAGGTAGTTCAAAATTCAAGATATGATTGTTTTAACTAAAGGAATCCTTTGTCAGCTCCACTGGTGCCTGTGCAGCACACACAAATGCTTGCTTTAAATTTACTGTTACCTACAGAAACATGCAACATTTTTAATAGGATTTACAGCATTCACCGAGAGATTTTTGAAGAGCACAAAGCTGGGAATGAATTCATACTAGCTTATCTCCTTATGATCTACAAGATTAATATATACCATATGATCTATCAGCATTAGCACTGTGTTTCTTAATAGTGATTTTATACAATCTGTGCATCTAACTTTATACACATTCATTGCTAGCTGCAGTTGTCACATGTCTGCATCTATGTATTTTTCCATTTAAACATTTTTTTCAGTCTAGCACTATGAAATATACATTCAGTTCATTCTATAAATGTTCATCATTATTAATCACACCACGAGCATGAAATGAACCACTATTAAATCTAGTTTACAAAGAGATTATATGACTTTCTAAAGTCTAAAGTCAGTGGCAGATTCATACTTAAAACTCACAAATACCTCTCTCATAACACTGCAATCAAGTCTTCAGCCTAACCTTTGGAGAAAATGCTCTGCTGGTGGAATTGAAGTAAAGTTTCACCTCCTTATAACCAGATATAGATCATTATTTATATGTAAGCACATTTTGGATATGAGAACAGCCATAATGAAGGTCAGCAAAGATCCACCTAGCCGAGTGTCATGTTATGGATGCAAAAAGTGTATATTATGTATTATAAAACATGCATAAAAAGGACAAGAGAAGGAAAAATTCGTTGACACGAAACATTAATACTTTGGCCTATTTTACAGACTTGCCACCAACTATAATGACAGTTTGTTGTACAGGTGAAACTAGAAATGGTTTTAGCGTACTCGTCATTTAAGACAACACATTAAAATCGTAACCTCGTAATCACCCCATCCAAACACAGATGCAAGGGTACTGTCATCAAGCCCAAATCCATGTCTGGGAACTAAAGGAACTTTAACGCTATCCAAGAGCCAAAATCAGGAAAGAGAACTTAAAGATGAAAAGCGTGTGTATCAGATGTCTCTGAGTTAGCTCAACCATCAAGAAGATCCCAGTTAACCATGTTACATGGGCCCGCACAAAATCTAAACAACACGTGCACGTCCAGTAGAGCACTCTGCATACACGCAAGTCAACTGCACGGTTCAAAACATCAGCCGTTGCAGCTGCCCACCCTTGTTTGGGCCCAGTCCCAAAACACCTCTAACAATGAGCCTGGGACTTTGGAGGGGAAGGAGCCTCCAGTTCTGGCTGCTGGCTGCTCTGTCACGGAGCTTAGAAACGAAAGAGAAACTAGAAACAGTAAAGAGTGAGCATGTCCAAAAGCACAAGGAAGAAGCATGATCTGAGCAATTAAGGAACAATCACTCTTGGATTCTTTTCTGCCCAGAAGAACAATTTTATCAGGAGGAGCCTGACTGACCAAATCTTCTGCAGCTTCTGACCTGATGCCAGCCAGGCAAGATGTATTTGTGAGTTCTCACAAGCTGAAAAAGGAATCAAGGCTGTGCTCTAGCCATGCTCCATGAGGAAGAAGCCTCCCTTACCAGTTTCTCCTCTGCTTCCTTTTTAGGCCAGCTCTACTCCATTTCTTAAAGAAAGGGGATCAGAGACAGTGCCCAGCGAGTTTGGGACAGTCAAACCTCTCAGCACCGAGAGAGGGAAATGTTGAGAGCATGTTGCTGAAATGCTTGTCAGCTCCTGCTTAGCTCAGTATCCCATTTTATGCATCCCCTCTGGAGGTGTCTGAGAGGTCCTGTCTTCACAGACCCCGATGTGGAAGCAAAGGCTTTTTCACTTCCCCACGCACCTGCACCACCTCCTTGCTCCTCTCCTCCCCTGGTAGCTCACTCTCATCTTCCCTGGGCTGTTCCAGGTGTTTGGGGGACCTGAGCTGTGAATTACATCAACAGACTGATCGAGTTCTTCCAAAAAAACCACCCTAAAACTTTTACTGCTTACCCAGTTTACAGAGCAGCTCCAGAAATGCTAGCATCAGCTCTACCAAGAAAATGGTAAGCTGAGAAGAGAGGATGAAAACAAGCTGTTAAGGGCTGCAGTGAGATGGAAACTCTCTTAAATCAGTTTTACCACACACACAAAAGTCTGTCATTACATCATTAGGTGACTAAAGCCCAAGGTATAAACCCGAATCTGTTGACTCAGATACTGCCTACGCCTGGAGCTGACTAAACTCAGTAGGTCTCTTACTTTTCAACATTAATATTCCCCAGACACTTAAAGATCTCTTTTATGTACATCCAGAAATTCCTTGTCTTGACAGGATTGAACAGCAGAATGCTTATCTCACATTAGTGCTAACGTTAGCATGGAGACAATTAGTTGAATTAGAAACCTCTAAATTGTTGCAAATGATGGCACCTCACTGAAATCACTTGCATGACAACACCCATTCTAAATTATCCGGATAATAATACTTCAAACTCACATTTTTTTTTCCTTCCCCATCTAATGATCTCAAACTACTTTACAAGCTCCTATAGAGTGGCAAAATGTTAACTTGTTCAAAGGACATAAAAAGTCATTTGAAATTGCTTGAAGCCCAGGACTGAGCCCAGATTTCCAGCTCCTCCATTCCACTTTTTAATTCAAAAGCCACTATCAGTCTATGCTTTTGTTCTAGGTTAGTCATATCACCAATTACATTGAGTTTCGTAGTACTGAATTGTCTGGAAAGGAAAACAGAATTCAATTATTGTAGCAAAATAAAATGCAGTAAAAGTGTTCCTATGCCCAAGATGCATAAATGATTCTCTAAAGTGTGTGAAACATACCCCATGCTTTCACTTGTCTTGAAAGTCAAAAGGAAGAGTTAAAAGAAGAAACAAAACTTGTACATTCAGACAAGATGGACACAAGAATAACATTTATTAAACCACCAAAGCAAGTGTTTTCCGAACTCTGAAATAAATTAAAAGAAGGAGAGTCGATTCTTCATAATCATATGATACATGAAGAATCAGTATGCTGAAGCCTTACAAAAGCAATATACTCAAGTACAACCTATTTCTGCAGAACAAAGCAAGGCTGTTCAAGAGAGGTACAGTGAATCTGAGCAACAGATTTCAGTTTAACATTGTAGTAAGAATACTGTAGAAAAAAAATCCACAATGGAATTTTTTTTCTCCTTTGATTCTGCCTCATTGCTGCTCAAATAAAGTGCACGTGTGCTGCTTTGGTTTGGAGGAACACCGTGGCTATTCGGATCTCTATGTCAAGCCTCGTACCTGGGGGAGGTATGATGGGGGGAGGGAGGAGACAGGGAATGAGAGAGAGGAGAGAGAGGGAGGACAGGAAAAAGCGTATGAAGATAAAATGAAACATTAGAGTTATTTTATTAAAAGTTCTATGGCAAAAATCTTAGATTGTCCCTAGAATACGCACTCTAAATTATGCCTTCCGATACCTTGCTTGAAATCAAGTAGTATTAATCAAACAAAGGAAGGGCACTGGGGAAATCAGAAAGATCTAATGCAAGCAGTTAAAAGTGACATGACCTTCTGTAATGTCACTTGTCACAGACTTATATGCCGCATACTGGTAGAAGGTCTTGAAAGAACCTGTTTCTTGGTACTGTCCCTTGAATGTAATACTAATACAGATGACATTTTAAAAAACACACGTAGACGGCCTCAAATACGGCATGTCAGCCACTTCACGGCCAAACAGTAAGCAGATGACATTCAGATGTTGCAAGGTAAGATCTTTCCTGTGCAAAACAGCCCTACTGAAAGCTTTTTAAGGAGAAGGAGCATGCGGTCCAGTTCCGACGTACCGCCACTGCTCTGGATCTACTCCCACCCTCTTAGAGGAACTCAGTGCACAGATTCTGCACGATTCACAGCCCAGGGGTGGCCAGAGGATCACCAGCTCTGTCGCAGCATCACTGGGGCACAGTGGTGGGGCACCAGGCTGCTGGGAATAAGGACAACCACCACGTTGGCACGCCGAAGAGAACCCCCATGCGCGCAGGACGGAGACCAGTCTTCTGAGGAAGGCAATTAAGTACACCTTGAGCTTGTTCTAAAGGTTGTTAGTCTATTGACTAACAAACCAGGTAGGATTCCCAAGAAAATAATTCATTTTGACTTCTAACCTCAACACCTGCAAAGCCTGGTTGGATACAAGCGCGCTGAATCAAAACCCCGCGACCGCAGAGAACTTTAAAATACCTCCTGAATCTAAAGACTCCGTGGAAAAATGACACATTGAAACCTAACACCACTTTTAATGAAAGGTCCTTCTCTCTTAGTATCAGCCTGCCGTTTCTCTACAGAAAGTGCAAACCGCAAGTCACTCCATGAATTGTCTTCTGTTCTAAGTTCTTTGGCTGATCCAACAGAAACACCTGCACAGAAGACACTTTGATGTCTTTACGTGTGAACAATACCAAGTATCTGCTCTTCACTCATATGCAAAATAAAGAAAAAATAAAAGGAGAGGCACTACCTCTGCAGATAACCCTGATGACTGTTACCTTAGTACTTTTCTTTAATGTGAAGCAATGCCCCCTCCCCCTGCATTAGCACTTCCCCAGATTTGCTGCTATCTTCCTTGATGCAGTCCTTTGAATGTAGGTGGTTTCAAATGGAAAACAGAAGAAAACACTTTTTAGGTTCTATCACATGTTACGGTGTCAAAGTAACTGCAGACATTTGTATT